TATATATTTTTAAATGATCCATGAAACGTGCACTTGTTCCCTACACCTGATTGACCATCTCAATGACCCATGAGAATAGCATGATGTATGCCACCGCGACATAAACCATCGCATGCTGCCACGACATAAACCATCGCATGCCGCCTCACCTGTTTCATGTCCTCGTAACGCACGTAGAGGACGCGTTCATCTTTACTGGCAGCGCACTCGTACCATGTGCGCACAAAGTCAAACCAGCATCCAGATTCAACTGCAGCAAGACAGAGAAACATCATGTGTTGCCACTAGTGATGTAACTGTGACAGAGCAGCAGCTATCAGGATAAGGATGCAGGCGGCTACTTTTTTAAACGTTAATTTATTTAAAAAAAATCCTGGTGATGGCTCCTGGCCGAAAATTTGATTGAGAAGTGTTATAATTTGCGGCGAAGAGACCAATTGGATTGAAGATGGTGTGTGTGTAAGGTTTTCCATTTAAAAAATATCTATAAAAAAGGAAAGGGACATATGGATACAAGTTAAGAGTAACTGTCCACCATTGTAACTACTAGTATTAGTACAGTAGGTATCGGTTATAGCGTGGGTGTTTGAAAAACGACTTTCTATTCTTATTTCCGATATTTCTTACACACGATAAATATAGTGTGACGTATCATATGCATGTGCGCATAGCCAGGAAGATCATCATACATGCAACGTAGTGCTACTGTGTACGCGGTTGCTCGTACTTCCAAAGTAGTCCCATACTGGGCCATAGGTTCACCATGTGGCTGAGCAACATGAGTTACATGACCACAACAGATGCACTTGCAGCATTATGATGCAATTCGAGTGGGTTCAGAACTGTATCGGGCAGATGTTATTACTACAGGCGATACACTTTGTATTAATCTGGTATGTTTTGCTACACAAAGTCCATTCTTAGGACCGATATATTCTATTACACGATAACATTGCTTGTAAGAATAAATATACACATGAAACCAATGTTATGATTATGAAAATAGGAGAGTTCATTCTTGTAGGCAGTATATTCTTTTACACGACCACGCTATAACCAATACGCACTGTAGTTTATATACAGTCAGAAAGTGCAACAACTAGGCACAACTACTTGAACCTGACAGAGTACTGAGACATTCGATGACCTGACTTGATGTGTTAAAAATTAAAATCTTCCTCAAAAAGGAATACATCAGAGTAGTGGGAGTGTACAATGATATACTGTACTTCAAAGTACTAAATCGTATTAGAAACTGCTTTCGCTCACCTTTTCCGCCCAGGAAGAGGTCAACAAACTCTGGGAACTCGCCGTTGAATTCATAATCCCAGAATCCCTTCATATGGTGGAACAAGGAGACGCAGACGTCTTTAGGATGGCGGATGACGTGAATGTACTTGCAGCGTGTGGCCTCGCTCTTACCCTTGGCTGCCATATAGTATGGACTGGCGGGACACAAGAAAAGATTGAAAACAATACTCAGTACACATATTATGCTCAATCTGACCAGCGAGCTACAGATACTGTGTTTCCAATGCGCAAGCCATATGCCCTATAGCCCTTGGAGGTTAACAGGCGCTTATAATCTGTACAGTACTACTACAGCTTGTACTAGATACCGTGAAGTACTAGTACATGTTGTGGAGTGCAGGCCAGGCCGGCGGGTTTCTATTCAAGAAAGTTTTTGGTGGATCCATCACTAAATAATGGTACAGTAAAACCGGTCAAGGCGACCACTTGGGTGAGGTGACCACTTGGGTGAGGTGACCACTTGGGTGAGGTGACCACTTGGGTGAGGTGACCACTTGGGTGAGGTGACCACTTGGGTGAGGTGACCACTTGGGTGAGGTGACCACTTGGGTGAGGTGACCACTTGGGTGAGGTGACCACTTGGGTGAGGTGACCACTTGGGTGAGGTGGCCACTTGGGTGAGGTGACCACTTGGGTGAGGTGACCACTTGGGTGAGGTGACCACTTGGGTGAGGTGGCCACTTGGGTGAGGTGGCCACTTGGGTGAGGTGACCACTTGGGTGAGGTGACCACTTGGGTGAGGTGGCCACTTGGGTGAGGTGACCACTTGGGTGAGGTGGCCACCTGTCCTAGAAGGCCACTGCAACCAGGACCAAGGGATGCTATTTCCAGTCAAAAGATCCTGGATCAGGAGACCACCTGGTAACAGAGACCACGTTTTGAAGGTCCCTTGACTGGCTTGAGCGGTCGTCTTAGACAGGTTTCACTGCAGCTTACCACACCAGCCCGGCAAAGTGCACACGTAAGTGGAATGGCCCATCGCATAAGGAGATAATTGGTCCGAGTCCAAATGTGTTGTTCTATACCTACAGCTGGTGTAGTGTAAAGTGAACTATGAACTATGATGCAGCTAGTGTGATGTACCCTGAACTATACTTCAGTACATGCAGCTGTGATGTACATTGAACTATACACACAGCCAGTGTTGTGGTGTACATCGAACGATACTGCAACTAGTATTATGTACACTGAACTATGATGCAACTAGTATTATGTACATTGAACTATGATGCAACTAGTGATGTGTACACTGAACTATATACACTAAACACACAGCTACAGCACACAGCTAGTGTGGTCGGTACACTGAACTATAATTCAACCATCCTGCCACTGATACAGACCTATGACTTTTGTAGATGCGCGGTGATGGCCTGTCTTCCATATCCTTCTGTGGCATGGCCTCGAACCAGGGGAAGATGTCTTCAAGGTGTTCATCAACGGTCTCCGGGTGGCCCTTTGTCCTGATGCACTTGACGATTTGCTGCATCCACGTAGTACCTGCATAAGGAGGGTACACGTGTGTGTGTGTGTTGGGGGGGGGGGGGGTAAAAGAGCAGGAGGGGCAAATCATGTTGCAAGAGTTAACCACTGGTCCTCTGATACAAAAATAAAATACCAATAAAATATCTCTGGTTCAGTTGTGTGAGAGTCAGTTAGACTGCATTTCCACAGTGTAGAAGTATCTTCACCCTCGATGATACAGCTTTTGATACAAGTGGCCGAGTTAAAAGCTTCCAATGACAAAGAATTTTTCAAGCAGGGGTGTGGACTTCCTCTCATTTACACTTTGATATGTATCACTGGCATCACCGTGGAGAACTGACCGTGGAGTTAAACCAGTCGTGTGCAATGGCATCACCGTGGGGAACTGACCGTGGAGTTAAACCAGTCGTGTGCAATGGCATCACCGTGGGGAACTGACCGTGGAGTTAAACCAGTCGTGTGCAATGGCATCACCGTGGGGAACTGACCGTGGAGTTAAACCAGTCGTGTGCAATGGCATCACCGTGGGGAACTGACCGTGGAGTTAAACCAGTCGTGTGCAATGGCATCACGGTGGAGAACTGACCGTGGAGTTAAACCAGTCGTGTGCAATGGCATCACCGTGGGGAACTGACCGTGGAGTTAAACCAGTCGTGTGCAATGGCATCACCGTGGGGAACTGACCGTGGAGTTAAACCAGTCGTGTGCAATGGCATCACCGTGGGGAACTGACCGTGGAGTTAAACCAGTCGTGTGCAATGGCATCACGGTGGAGAACTGACCGTGGAGTTAAACCAGTCGTGTGCAATGGCATCACCGTGGGGAACTGACCGTGGAGTTAAACCAGTCGTGTGCAATGGCATCACCGTGGGGAACTGACCGTGGAGTTAAACCAGTCGTGTGCAATGGCATCACCGTGGGGAACTGACCGTGGAGTTAAACCAGTCGTGTGCAATGGCATCACCGTGGAGAACTGACCGTGGAGTTAAACCAGTCGTGTGCAATGGCATCACCGTGGAGAACTGACCGTGGAGTTAAACCAGTCGTGTGCAATGGCATCACCGTGGAGAACTGACCGTGGAGTTAAACCAGTCGTGTGCAATGGCATCACCGTGGGGAACTGACCGTGGAGTTAAACCAGTCGTGTGCAATGGCATCACCGTGGAGAACTGACCGTGGAGTTAAACCAGTCGTGTGCAATGGCATCACCGTGGAGAACTGACCGTGGAGTTAAACCAGTCGTGTGCAATGGCATCACCGTGGGGAACTGACCGTGGAGTTAAACCAGTCGTGTGCAATGGCATCACCGTGGAGAACTGACCGTGGAGTTAAACCAGTCGTGTGCAATGGCATCACCGTGGAGAACTGACCGTGGAGTTAAACCAGTCGTGTGCAATGGCATCACCGTGGGGAACTGACCGTGGAGTTAAACCAGTCGTGTGCAATGGCATCACCGTGGAGAACTGACCGTGGAGTTAAACCAGTCGTGTGCAATGGCATCACCGTGGGGAACTGACCGTGGAGTTAAACCAGTCGTGTGCAATGTAAGTACATGTACCAACCTCAGACACTGACACTGACACTGACACTGACACTGACACTGACATCGGTATGACTAGCACTAACACCCCCTCCCCCTCCCCCCCCCCCCCAACACACACCCTCCCTCCAACCCCCCCCCCCCCCCCTAACACACACACCTTGACCTTGACCTTTGACGCCCATCGCCGGAGGCGATGATAGCAATGCTACGGCAGATGCCATAGCAACTTGTGCTGGGATTGCACCATTCAACAGCTTGCAAGGCTGAAGAATTGACCGTCACTATTCAGCCTGGTCTACAGCATACTTCAAAAAAGTCACACACACACACACCCTCTCTCTCCCCCCCCCCCCCCCCCCCCCCCACACACACACACACACACTCAGGCAAACACCCCTGGTCAAACAGCATCTAGGGGTTCCATGTAAGAAGGCAATAGCCTGTTGGGAAGCCCTGGTTTAAAAAATAAAATCCGACTATTTCTACTCAGTGACATTATACCAGCACCAGCACCAGCACCAGCACCAGCACCAGCACCAGCACCAGCACCAGCTCCAGCACCAACACACACATACACACTGCAGTGTTCTCACACCTGATTTCGGATAGGTCACAATGAAGACATCATCAGGCTTGGTCTCGAACTCCGGGATCTTCAAGCAGCGCTTGTAGTCGATCACGATATTGCAGGTTATACCGTGGCAGATCTGCGTTGTCCATGGCAGGGGATCTCCAGGAAACCATCTCTCCTTGCTCTCCACACCCTGCATGGGATACATTACACAACATCATGTAACTTTCAACTCTCTTTGCTGAAAGAAGCGGCGCGGAGACAACAACTTTAATAAGGCAATCAGCAGAATCAGCGAAGCGGACATTAGACGTAGTATGTATGTATGTATGTATAACTCATAATCACAAGGTGATCGTAGAGGCATTAATCAGCGAGAGAATTGTGAATGATGTCTCTGAATCCAACTCTATCGTGTGCTGCATGAGAGAGAGCATGCAAGGGAAGACCCGTCCAACTTTTAATGTTAGAAATCCATGATGTTGCGGGCCTTCCTCTCGGTCGAGATCCAGGAGTTGATCCTTGTAGGAAGGGCTTGGAGAAAACGTCATGTCTCGTAACATGGCCAAACCACATCAACTTAAATTTCTTGACTTCGTTCGCTAGCCGCATCCTTGCTCCGATGATGTCATTGATTTCTTCCAGGATAGATTGGTTGGTACGCCGGTCGTGGTATGTTACTCCTAAGAGTCGGCGGAAGCATTTCATCTCGAAGGATGAAATTCTTCTCATTGATGAGGCAGATAATGTCCAAGATTGGCATCCGTATAAAACAGTCGCTAGCACAATAGACCTAACAAAACGAAATTTAGTAGGCAAAGAAAGTGATGGCGATTTCCAAATGAATTGAAGCTCAATGATCTTTTGCTTCCCTAGTGCTAAGCGTCTTCTTATCTCCACATCAGACTTGCCATCCGACGTGATTACGGCACCTAAGTATTTAAACTGGGATACCTCTTCTATTCGCTCATTGCCTACTTGAATGCATCCCAGATCACCACCGCCCTCCGGCGCTGCCATTGACTTGGTCTTGGAAGCATTGATCTGCATGCCTAGTCTTGTTGCACTCGTATCCACGCGCTCGGTCAGGTCCATCAGCTCTTCCACAGACGATGCGATTAGATCTATATCATCCGCAAAACGTAGGTTGGTCACGCACATGCCGCCGATACATACTGACCCATCAAACTCCTCCAAAGCGTCAGACATGATGTACTCCAGGAATACGTTGAACAGACAAGGCGAGAGTAAACAGCCCTGCCTGACACCCACTGACGTGGTGAACCAGTCGGTGATAGTGGATCCAACAACGATGGCAGCTTCAGTAGTAGCGTAAAGCGCTTCAATCAGGTCCACAATTCTTGCTTCGATGCCATGCGCTCTCATAGACGTAGTAATGAACAAAAATAAAAGATGGATAATAAAGTTTCCTAACAAGTTTTCTAGAGACATTCATCAGGGAAATACGTCTCAATAATGAAATCTAGCAATATTACAATATATACGTGGAAGAGTACGAAATGCACTATGTGAAAGAAAAGCTTTTTTTGCGGGCTATCTCTTGTACTTGCGTATTCTGGGCTGTGCAGTGGTGCAATGTGCTACCATACTCATCATCGGACTGTGGCTTTCACTGAGCACAACCTCTATACAAAATGTAAATACGTTGTCGTTGAGGTGTGCGCTAAGAGCTCAGATGGCGAGACAAGGAAATATTAAAATTGAAAACTCCTGGTGCTAAGTTGTGCCCGTCTGACTGTTCAAAATCTGGTTTAGTTGTTGGACTGGATCGCATAACTTGTGCCCCACTGTTTTCCATGTTTTCAAGTAAGTTGAGGCTACTCCAAAAGTCCAAGTAATAATGAAAAGCCAAGACATCCCACTGGCACCGCCTAGACCAGGCATCATGGGCAGTATAAACACACATGCACATCATGCACTGAGGTACACTGGTAAACTACAAAGCGACACCGCCGTGCACAGTCTTGGCAATCCGTCATGTCACCATGGCCACTCTGTACACCTCTACACTATAGAGGCGGTTGTGTCCGGAAAATAGGAAGATAACACTGACACGTCCAAGCATGTCAGAAATGAAACGTCATTTCCGCTGTCCTCAGTTGAGAATGTCACTGGTATTCCGTAATGTATGCTATGTGCATCATCACACATACTACTACTAGTGCACTGTCACATACTATAAAATGGTCAAGGCCGACACTGCTTTGCGAGGTTTTCTGGAGACTCAAAAGAGTCAAAATTATAAACTGTTCCTGGGCGCGGAGACAAACAAAAATGCTATCACACTGTAGCATTCGAAGGAGGCCACACTTGAAAGTAATCCACTCATCGGCTGTCCGTATTTTACAGAAATTGAGTTAGCTTAGTCGGCAATACTCTGTAAACTGCAATACGACCAGGCAATTTGTTCGCCAGCTGCACAAGGCTGCACAGCCACAGGGGCAAAGAACACCATGATGCTGCCGAGCATTGCAAGAATGCAAGCCGAAAACTGGAAAAGCTACTAGTATACTTTTCAGAACGCAAGGTAGCGAAAAGCGCTTGGTAACACTGACTATTGATAACTACTTAGTGGCTGCGCTGCGGCATGAACCGACCATTCGCCTTAGTCGTACCTAGCCTCCAACTCCAAGGCTAAAACTAGTAAAAGCCAATACAACCCCCAGCCCACTGCCCCAGGTCAGGTGCTGCTTACCTGGATAATGCCGTTCATGACAGGATACGTATCTGCTTTAGCCATCTTGCCAGTGCTGTTGGAGAGCGACTTCCGGGGAGAACCGATGGCTTACAAGCGGTAGCGTTGGAGAAGGAGAAGAAAGGTTCGAACTGTGCCTACACCTTACACTACTTAGTCTTGGCAAAGGAATAATAAAAGTGGACGACTACGCAGAACCAGGTCGTCGGAGCTTGAGTATCGCTGCTCCACACACAGCCTCACACTCACAGGTGACACATTTCCTACTCTCCACGCCTGGGATGTCCGGGATCGATGGTAGCCGCCTGAAACGGCCCGACCGGGAAACGCAGGCGGGCAGTGCAGCGGCCAAGTCGTGATGCTGTGGCGGGTTGAGGGCCTAGGCTGAGGGGCTAGTAGTAGTACAGCACTAGTCGCACTGGCGAGTTCATGTACTGTAGTAACACACTCACACCTGGTGAGTAGTGGTAACACAATGCATTCCCAAACCATGATTGTAATGACTATGATTGTGCAGAATCTAGAAGTAGAACTGGGTGAACAGCTGATCCGGCACGTATCAGCTAGCAGTGCAGTGGCTATGTACAGTAGATCTACCATGATTACTAATACTGTACTGCGTAGAGATGAGGTTCATTCAATGATTCAGGAATATCATTCTGTCGAACACGTCCAAGCTGCGGAGCTCCTCCCCTCGGTACTGTACTTCATCCCCCTCACAAGGATGGTGCATTTGCCAGGCTTTGGTGGCCGTCAGCGCTATCGCTAGTGTCTTACAGTCAGTAGTGAAAAATTTACTAAAGACATAGTAAAGTGACTGTGCCTGGCAACATGTGTGGCTTGGGTGGGCTGCCCTCCGAATTAGACCATGGCACTTGACTCTCCTGACGGTGGGACGTGTAAAGTAGCAATTGCTGCATTGTCACGGACGTTAGCGATGAAACATGGTATGTAGATCTACTGTATGCAGCTGAGGGCATTCATTGAAAGAGTCCAATCACAACTACTTACTTCAACCACCTCTGCCATAATGGAAAAGGTAATTATTATTATCCATTCAAAAAAGGTCCACACAGTATCTGTCGTGTCGACATGTCCTTGACTTGAGGTTTGTGGTTTCTCGCAAAAAAACAAAACACAGATCCATGACCTGATGGTACACACGGCCAGTCCAGTGAACTCACCAGGCAATGAGTTGTAGGAGACTCAGGGAGAGTACATGTATGCCTCTGTGAAAGAGACCATCCACACCGACATTTTTCAAAGTGAGATTTGGTAATTTATCCGCCTCTCCCAGGTCAGCGAACACACGTGTACGTACATGTACATGTACTGACGTGGGCATTGAAACCCAATGGGATGACCGGGGGCCGTTACTGCTTTTAGCGCGCACGTGCACTGTACTCGTTGATTCAACTTGCTCAAATGCACCTGCCGTTCTTGATTTTTGAAAGATAGTTTCATTTTTTACTTCAGCTCTCTCAAACAGCAAACCATCAGCTAGAGATGATGATCTGAGTTCAAATGAAATAAATACAGATGGGAACGAATCATTTTCACGGGAAGCACATGCACGGAAGCAAATAAAAGTCAGCCAAAGGGTTTAGGTGGCAAATGGACACGGAGGGAAAGAAGCAGAATAGTCGAAAGGCGTGTGCTATGGTACAATACAGCCTGCCACTTGCAGATGCAGACCACTAGACAAGAACAACATTATCTATGTACACATCAGCCGTCTTCTATCTACTCTCTTCCTATACCTAGATGTATATCAGTGTGTCACAAGTCCACCTATGTACCATGCACATGTGCATAGCAAGCAAGCAGGCAGAAATACCAACAAAATTAGTGTTAAATGAGAATGATAAAGCGGATAAGTTTTGCCGTGTTTTTATTTCGGAAAGTCCAGTGCAGCGGGAGGCAAGAAGGAAGAATGGACTTGACGTAGCAAACTTCCCTGGAGCAACCCCACGCCATGTCACTCCACTGCAAGATGTAATGCTGCTTGGCATCCACACTAGCTGACTAGCATGCACGGCACAGCAAGACAGTCCCCATCGGAACGATGATGATGATGCATTGCTGCGTGACAGCGCGCAGCACCGAGTGAGATAGAGGCGCAGTGGCTAGCACTTGGGTATAATTGTGGAGAACACCACCTAAAACTCATCATGAGAATGGCCTTGTGAACCTACACATAGACACAGGCAGACACACAGACACACAGACAAACACAGACAAACACACACACACACACACACACACAAACACACAGACACATACAGACACACACACGCACACAAACACAGACACACAAATACACACTTGATCGAAACTTGATCAAGCCAAAACAGCCAAAAAGTCCCTCCTGGAAATTCCCCGAGAGAGAGAGAGAAAGAAGACTTCCCTTGCCGGATAATCCATTTGCCTCTGGCGAACCCCTCAAATATACAATACAGTTGAGCTAGCATTGAACCGAAGACTGACCTGCAGCAGGTGTATCAGCTGGTGGCAGCGGGGCCCCGTCAATCTGATCCTGGAGCGATCGCACCTCTTGATCGTATGATGACCATTCGGGAATAATGCGCATAGCTGCTGACAATTTGGGCTCCTTGGTCTGAGGGTTATTGCACTGAAAAAGAAGGAAAAAGAAAATAATATACAAATTATCAGGCAATCTTTGAAAGGTCACAGCCATTTTCCTCAATGGACATCATAGTGCCGGTGACTACGTTTGTTTTCCATAGCAGTCACCAGAAAGAAAGAAAAGAAAGAAAAGAAAGAGAGAGAAAGAGAAAGAGAGAGAGAGAGAGAGAGAGAGAGAGAGAGAGAGAGAGAGAGAGAGAGAGAGAGAGAGAGAGAGAGAGAGAGAGAGAGAGAGAGAGAGAGAGAGAGAGAGAGAGAGCGTGCGTGTGTGCCCGCGAACGAAAACGGGAGACCGATGCGGGTGGGGTGAGGCAATGAGGGCAAATATGTGCACTCAAAGTAGCACATCCAGGTCAAACTACAAGAGTCCAAACAGGCAAATTGCTCACAAGCTTGAGCAAGGCCTGCATGTGCGCGAACACACACACACACACACGCACACACATAAGCGTAAACGTAATGCCCACACTTCATGTGTGTTGCCTTACCAAGTCAATTGTTTTCGCGTTTGGTTTGGTGCTGTTACTGCACCAAGTCTCACACCATAACCATTCCTGTGGCAAACTCTTGATGCGCACTTGGTGGATCATGTTATTCGGCAAGTCCTAGAAAAACAACAGAAACAAAACCATACTTCGAAGTAAGACAAATACCACAAAGCAACAAATTTTAAAACAATCCCCAGAAACACGATACTGTAAAACGGGTAGTGTTTGCAACAAGAAATGTTTGCGTGTTAGAAATTGAGACTGGTTCGTCAAGTTCAAAGTTTGCGATTCATCACCTCTCGCAAATATCGTTAAAGGGGAAGTTAAGGCAAAAATTAAAACTTCACCAGTTGTAGTCTTCGGGGTGCTGAGTCGAATGGTCGTGGTCCGAGAAAGCTGAGACGCTCCCTTCCTACTTGAATCCCAATCGAACTCGCGCACTTCCACCGAAACTGGGTGACTGCGCCCTACTAGATGGGGATTTGTATGCAAAATGTCACTAAAAGCGCCATTTCGTTCTTATAAAAGCATGGATGACCGTGATTGGCCCACATGTTGTAGTCTTTTGGACGCTGAGTCGATTGGTTTTGGTCCGAAAAGGCTGCGATGCAGCGTTCCTCCTTTATTCCCAATCGAACATGGTTGAAGAAGCGGTCACGTGCTCCTGCGTACACCAGTCACCTGGTCACCATGCCTGCAGGGTACAACTTACTAGCCTGTTTTGACCTTTTTTGGGTGCAGTCCTGTCACTCGAGTTGAACTCGAGTTGAACCTTGGTGTGAAAGTTGTCGCCTGCTGGCGTGGTGACCAGGTGATTTGGGCACCCAGGAGCACGTGACCGCTTGTTCAACCATGTTCGATTGGGAATAAAGGAGGAATGCTGCATCGCAGCCTTTTCGGACCAAAACCAGTCGACTCAGCGTCCAAAAGACTACAACATATGGGCCAATCGCGGTCATCCGTGCTTTTATAAGAACGAAATGGCGCTTTTAGTGACATTTTGCATACAAATCCCCATCTAGTAGGGCGCAGTCACCCAGTTTCGGTGGAAGTGCGCGAGTTCGATTGGGATTCAAGTAGGAAGGGAGCGTCTCAGCTTTCTCGGACCACGACCATTCGACTCAGCACCCCGAAGACTACAACTGGTGAAGTTTTAATTTTTGCCTTAACTTCCCCTTTAAACATGTTTAAAATTGATGTTTTCTTACGTTGCAAATATTACCTGCTTTACATGGACTGGTAAGCCGAACTCAATCTGCACACACACATGGACCATTTCCTCTTTGGCTGGATGGTAAATGTCTGGGTGACTGCACTGACTGGTGGAATGGTAGGTTCTAGGTGAATGGCGGGATGGTAGGTTCTAGGTGAATGGTGGGATGGTAATTGCTGAAGCTGCTCTTGCTAACGTACCGGTACTTGGAATATTTTCCACGAGTGCTGGCACTGGCAGAAGCTTCCTTAGCACTTTCTCCAACTTAAAAACCCACCCACCAACACACCCACTCCATGGTGCACTCCCACTACGGGTGGCTTAAAAAGAAATCCTGCATAAAATTCTCAGACCATGGTACATAGCATTGGCTCAACTGTCAGGGCAGCTTTGTAACAGTTCAGCCCAGCACAGTGTAAGGAAGTGGATATTTGCATTGTAAAGTGAAACCTGTCTAAGACGACCGCTCAAGGGACCTTCAAAACGTGGTCTCCGTTACCAGGTGGTCTCCTTATCCAGGGTCATTTGACTGGAAATAGCATCCCTTGGTCCTGGCTGCAGTGGTCTTCTGGGACAGGTGGTCGCCTTATCCGAGTGGTCGCCTTAACAGGTTTTACTGTATACGATTTCATCATCTTCATCTTATGCTTGCTGAAGCCGGTCACAACAAAGGTGATGTAAATGACATCATTGCATACACTGGCAGACTCTATACATGTACATACCTGATCCAAATTGGCAAGACTGTTAGGGTCCTGGCTCAAACCCTGCCACAACAACAACACACACAACACATCATTATTAAAGTCAAATATTCGCCATACTTACAGCGTTGATTTACAGACAATAGTAGCCTGGTGGTTCGATTCTACATACCGTAAAAGCCCGTAATAACGCCCACCCAGTGTAACGCCCACAACCCGCGTACACGCCCAGTTGCCGCGTGTCAACACTCTTGTTCCACTTTCTAGCCCACCTGCGTGTTAACGCCCACGGGCAAAAGCACATGCCCAGTGCACAGTGGAGTGCATGCACAGCTACATGTGCAGTCACTGCACTGTGTACTGTAGTGCAGTGAATGCACAGCTACTTGTACATGTGCATTCACTGCACTGTGTACTGTAGTGCAGTGAATGCACAGCTCCACTTGCATGTACAGTACTGTAGTATAACTTAGTGTACCGTGCACTGTGCTAACCTTATACGTACCGATAGCAGTACAGCCTGATGTGAAAATTAATTTGATCTCACTTATCCGGGATAGCGCCCGGGCCCTAATTGACGCCCATGTTCTCCACCTTCACTAACGTTTCCGCCCAGGGGCTTATTTAATACGGGCTTTTAGTCTTTTACGGTAGTTCTCTGTGTTTCTCACAGTTGGAAAGCTCTGAGTGATGCTTTGAGCCGATTTAAAAATGTTTTGCCGCTCATTAGACTTCAGTGCAATCGGTTCAGCCAGTTACTCTGTTCCGCTGATGAGACCAAAGAAGGTCGCAACAGCCAGTTGTGCATGGATTGATTAGCCAAATGAGAGTGTATGAACAGAGGATGCAGCGGAAAGGTGTGTGAGTACATGTACACGTGGAATGTGATCAAACGGACCATGACGCTACATGCTATATATGCTGCTAGCCCGGCTATAAAATACATGACTACAAGTACCTACTTGATACTGTCCACGGAGACGGTCACCAGCAGCCAGGCGACGGAAACGCTTCAAATCCACAACGTACAGTGCACTGCAAACACACACACACACACACACACCGTCACATAATGACACGCCATGGCCCATTGGCCGCACATTCATTGCGGTAATAGTCTAATAGCCCAAAGTAAGGTAATGGATGCAGAAAAGAAGCAAGGCATGATGTTGATCTCCAATGGGTTCATAGATGACATCAAGAGAGAGGTTCTTCATGCTAGCATTTACAAGACAAACACAACATGCAAACACGCACACAAACGCCCCGCATAATATAGTAATACGTGAATAAGTCATACACGTACAGTGTACATACTTCGAAGTAAGAAGATACATGATGGACAAATACGGATTATAATTATACCTGATGTGATATGGCAGCCCGCTCAGGTGAGAAGCCCAGTATCCAGATTTCCAGAACCTGAAGCAATGCAGGAGTGGCAAAGAACAAGAACATCACAAAACCCATAATTTAGGTCTTTGAAACAGTTGTGTGAGGATTGCGCAGTTGGAAGAGTTGCCAAGTGACAAGCTCACGAGTCTAAAGCACAAGACTCACTTGATACGGAGAGAGAGAGAGAGAGAGAGAGAGAGAGAGAGAGAGAGAGAGAGAGAGAGAGAGAGAGAGAGAGAGAGAGAGAGAGGACATTCCCAGCGGTTCCATTCCTGGAAAGAATTCAATGCCAGTCACCACAGTTATGGCATCTGGTGCAGTGAACAGGATCCATGCTTGGTGTGTTCTTTGCCGGCCATGCTGTCACACCTATTAAAGGGGAACCCGAATGACACACCGCATGGAGATTGCCAATGAGAATGAGAAGGACATCCGACACACCCCGCCTGGCGGCTCGATTAGGACGGGCAAAGAGGAATTCCACGTGATCGGAATGATCCCGTGCACACACACACACACACACACACACACACACACACACACACACACACACACACACACACACACACACACACACACACACACACATACCTGAAACCGTCCATTTCAGGCCGTGAGTTGCAGAACGGTGTGTAGGCGTACGGTGCCCCTTCTAGGTCCATGTCCATCAGCTCCTTCAGGTCAGAGCGCACCGTCTACACACAGACACACACAGACACACAGTCCACTTAGCATTCGATTGGATATATACATCATGCCATTATCGATAGCTGTATGATAGTAGGGGCTACCCAGAGCCTAGGACTGTTGCTGAGATCCATCGCTGCTGCACAGTAACCTCATAGAGAAGACTATACTGTGATAGTAGAACCAAGAGTAGAGTAAAACCTGTCAAGGCGACCACTCGGATAAGGCGACCACCTGTCCAAGAAGACCACTGAAACCAGGATCAAGGGATGCTATTTCCAGTCAAATGGCCCTGGATAAGGAGACCACCTGGTAACAGAGACCACACTTTGAAGGTGCCTTGAGCGGTCGTCTTAGACAGGTTTCACTGTACATAAGCCAGAGTATGGAACTCTGCACCTACCGTGTTTCCCTAGTTGTAAGTCGCACTCGATTGAAAGTCGCATCATTTTTTCAGGTCCATGTCATACCAATATCAATAAACTGTTGCCATGTCATACCACTTCAATATAATATCAATTCAGGAGTAAGTCATGCTCGATTGTAAGTCGCACCCCCACCCCCCTTCATGTTTCCCCTGCCGTGTAGTGTAAAAAGGTGTAATAGGGGAATACGGCATACTGCACAAAACCAATCACATTTCGAGGTTTTTGCTTAAGTCATTATGAATTGTAGGATACCGTAGTACAGTAGGCCCAGGGTCAAATCACTGCATCGCTAAGTCTAAGCTAATGTTAGGTACCTCCTCCTGTACCTTTCCTAGCCGGCCTGCATGCACCCGTACTACGTCATACTCACCTTTCGTTCCGTTGGCCTGGGTAGCTACTTGCGCGCCCATGTTTGCCATAGCTACCCAGGCCCTTGATATTGCGTTGCTTCTCAGTCGAGCTCTCTCTCTTCAATAATCTCACTTTTCAACGTAGTCGTTCATTCGTCTTGGTCTCTTGTCTCGTCGTCTATAATAAATGTCGTTCCCAATAACTTGTTCCCGTTGTCCGTTGTAATGTCTGGAGAAGATGTCGTCAGTCGTCCTTCTTCGGACTCAACATTGGCCCCCAACGTGGGGCTCGAACCCACGACCCTGAGATTAAGAGTCTCATACTCTACCGACTGAGCTATCGAAGGTAATAACGGGAAATCCATCTGAGTTGTTCAACTTTAGTACGAGAAGGAGCAATGCGCAATGGAAATTACCTTGGCGATGGGGTAACATGATCGTGTAAATTATAAACCGGTGAGATGCAGCAAAGTTGATTTACTATGATGTAAGCAAAAAAGACTCTGCTATGGATGGGCTCATTCTCCCCGGGAGTTGCAAACCATGGCTTGTGTAATCTTGTTTGAACTGACAATTGGACACATGATACACATGATACACATGATGCACCTTTGCCCAGTTAGATGTCAAAATATACTCATTGCTGTTTTCTGATGATCGCTTAGTGCGTGAAACTCAGAGTTAAAACACTTTTTCTGTCCTCTTATTGTTTAGTAGCAGTTGTTCGATGTCAAAATATACAACGCTGAGAACAGCTGCTTGTATATACCACCATTGCACAGTAACTGTACATACTCTCTAGACGCTAACCTGATCAGCATCTACGTAGATGATACGCTTGACGTTGAGCGGGAACAGTACGTCTAAGAATAAGATCTTGTATCTGAAAGGGAGCACAGTTTACAGAACAGATCGATGATGTATAAGTGTCTGCAAAGCGCCATTGAAACCTCATCTTCCAACAAAGAGAGAGAGAGAGAGAGAGAGAGAGAGAGAGAGAGAGAGAGAGAGAGAGAGAGAGAGAGAGAGAGAGAGAGAGAGAGAGAAGAGAGAGAGAGAGTGTGTAAGTGAAGGAGGTAGGGAGAGCAGAATATCGTATTGAAAAAAGCACCATTTATACTTCAAGTATAAAAACTAAAACATGTACCGCGGGCCCATCCAGGAACATTTTGGCCGACTTTTCCTCACTTTGCTGAGATCCACGAAAAGAAACCCCTAAACAGCAAGAGGCATGCAGACATCGCAACTCACCCCCAGATAATTCTCTGTTTCTCGGTCTGTCTGTGGAGCCAATGGGGCCACTTGTACTGGACTAGCTCATACTGAAAGCCGTACTCCTTGGCCATGTGTGGAATGAAGTCCTAGCCAGTGAGAACACACAGATCAGAAAGTGGAAAGAGGGGTTAAAAGTGGAAAGAGGGGTTGGAGGTAAGGAAGAGAGTATTCAAGGGCAGCGCCCAAGCACTTGTCTATTCCGACAACTACGTTATGAATTACCATGATAACGGAGAAAGACCACACATAGACACAGACACAGACACCGGAACAGTAGCAGTGACAGGGTGTCCGCAAGTAACTGCTTCTGAAGAGTTGACTAATCATGGTTATATGATTCACCAGTGTGTGTGTGTGTGTGTGTGTGTGTGTGTGTGTGTGTGTGTGTGTGTGTGTGTGTGTGTGTGTGTGTGTTCGTGCGAGCGTGATCACTGCTCAGCATGTACCCGCTATTTACCTTGAACTGTGGGGAGAGGAAGTTCTGCAAGAACCAGAACTTCACAGGTGTCTTGGTCTTCTTCACCACACTCAACATCATGATTCTACAAACAACATCAGCAAAACAAACAAGAGTACACGCTAGTTCATATCTATCTCCATTACATTCACACTGTCCAGGGACAACTTCCATGCATTGTAGATCTACAGTGCCAATACATCATACTCTGGCCAGGGTCCCAACTCCTGTCGGCTGCATGACAAGGTGGATACTGAACATCAGTACAGTGCTAACGTTAGAGATCAGCACTGGCATTGGCACTGCTGGACAAATTACTTATTGTCTATGTGACAGGGTACTTCCACATACTGTAGCGTCGCGTATAAAAGCATGACTCGAATAGAAGCATGCATGTACTTGTATCATGTACTGTTGTGGACATGGAAATCCGGTCGCACGTCTAGCGGCCCCAGGGCGCTGGCCATGCAGCCGTGGGTAAGCGGTACACACATGCATTTATGCGCTGCAGCGCACTGGTCCCATCGGATCAACATGTGCACTGCACGCAGCGTTCTGTACGCGCTAAGGGCGCCGGCCCCGGTCAATCGACTGGATTTCCATGTCCGCTACAGTACTTGCACACTACATACGTGACAATGTGCACTGCACAGAGTAGGCTGAAGATGTTGACGTAGAAGCATGTTTTGAATAGAAGCATGGTTTGAACCCCGGCTTATGTGGCCGGCCGTAAGCACCTGCTTTTATAAGCGACATTACGGTAGTTTCAAAGTTTTATGCTCCCACTCGATACAAAAACACCCCCCCCCCCCCCCCCACGGCATACAATGCATGTCAACCGATCTCGAGCTCAAAGTTGTCTGTCATTCGGAATAGCAAGAAATTACGAGCAGAGTCGATGCAGGTCACAAGAAACTGACAAACATGATCCCGGAGTCAAGTAGTTGATTGGCACAGAGCGCGTACATGCATACATGCGTATCCACACATGCACGCACACATACTTGCGCTTTCGTTAGCTACATACCTCAAGAATCGTTCGTACAAATGACCGGAGGCAATGGAGAATACATTGATGACCTCATCAGTCTCAGCTTCATAGTTCTCGTCTCCCGTACCGAGCACACTGCACAGGATAACATTATCAAAACACACACACACGACCACACACACACACACTCACGCACACACACACACGCGCGCGCGTGCGCAAGCGCGCGCACACACACACACACAGCACACCATCATGTCATCAGGTCATCAATTGAGAGTGTGAAACAAAACTCTGCGCACTGCTGAAAGACATGTACAAGTCCCGACCTTAGCAACAAAGCCAGACAAACACAGAGCCTAGACAATCTTCAGTAGTCCAACGATCAAGAATCAAGAGCATTATGTTCAAAGTGAGCAGTGCTTGCCGCCAGTACACAGAAGGGAGTCCACTGGGATCACTTACTTTCCCCAGAAGCCAGTCTTCTCCTCTTCACCGCCACCCTCCAAGACATCCTCCTGCTCCTTTCCGGGGCGCTTGCGTACCTACAGCAGTCAGCACACACACACACACACACACACACACACACACACACACACACACACACACACACACACACACACACACACACACAGCAGTAGACAAGAATTACACCAAGCTATTATTAAAAGGGAGGGGGGGGGGCTAGAAACTTCCACAACCAACAAATTCGTACCGGAGATTTGGGAACTCAGTAAGGGGCCATCTAACACAATTAATAATTACTGGTATCCTGGAGCGAAACAGTTTACTGTAAAAGCCATTATTCTAACGAGGCGCATATATAACGATTTCCCAAAATTGACTGGTTTACGTGTACCAAAGGTAACGATTCTGTCTCATTCTTAACGCTCAATAGGACAGTATATGTATCGATTTCTGTATAACGATTTCTATTTTAACGACAGATTTCTCCTCGTTAACTCTTTTGAGTTAGCACTTCGTTATATACATGGCTTTTACAGTAGTCATGACCCTTCCCCACCCACCCACCCTGCTGAACGAAAAATATATCGACTTGACACCTAGAATAGATTGATGGTTCAGATGAAAATGAAACCCTCCTCGGCCCACCCAACCATAAACGAAACTTTTTCGTTTCGTGTAAAATATCGATAATTATGGATCTATAAAAGCACTTCATAACTAACAGTTACCTACACCTGCCATGTCCCCAATGCTGCAATGTCTACCAGCCATGGCCCACCTGCTAACCGCTCCAATCCGGCCGGGACCAGCCCCATTTCAAGGTGGTAAGCCGACATGATTCCACCTAACGACTAGAATTATCCCGTTTTGCCTCGATATCACCCTGAAAACTAATCATTGCTGTGCTTACAGCAGAGAAAGTACAAGTAAAGAAGCTGGAACGCGTGCAGCGCACACTTTGCTGTATCAGGGTACATGTACGGCATGAACAGGTACGCACCTGCACTAACCGTATACCTAGGTCACTACGACAGGCGTGCACTCAGGATGTAGTCACTGCAATCACTGCAAGACACCGGCATTGTCTCCTTGCAAGGTCAAATGCACAATGGAAACAGGTCAGCAGTGGGTGCACAGTACCTACACTTCCTTCAAAATATGGTTCAAGAAGAATGAAAATGGACAGGACACATCCAGCTAAAGATTGGAAAGTCCGAAAGGCTTGTGCATGTGGTCACAGATACAGACTGGTGTATGAGCAAACATCGGCTGCTTGGCTGCATCAGAGATACTGCACAGTCAGAGGACCAGAGGAACGGAGAAAAAAAGCAGTTGGGTACCAAGGTGAAATGCACAATGGAAACACTCCAGCAGCAGGTATACAGTTCCTTCAAGATTTGGTTCAAGAAGAACGAAAATGGGCAGGACACATCCAACTTAGATTGGACGAGTGTCGACGGCTGTGTCAAAAAGAAGATATTGGAGAAACTACCGGAGCACATTACTACATTGGCGCCCGACCTTGCTCCCCAGTAACCCACGACCCTGCACTACTTGCTCTACCGACTGTCCTGATGAATCTACCCGGTGCATTCCATTTCTCTGCGTAATTACCCAAGGAAATGTATGAATGCAGAAACAGAATTGGCAGTCCAGTTATGGTCCCTGTGTACTTGAATTAGTGCCCGTGGAGAGGCGTCTGCGCACGCTTCGCATGCCTTCTAAGGCTCCCAAGACTCCCAAAGATGACATGGTCGAAATCGAGCAACCTAGACGGAAACTACATATCACGGCTGCGGATGATGTGGCCATCCTGAGGGAGGTTGCTGTCCATGAGCGACCGTTCAAGCATGGATTGAAGGCGTGGAGCAACTTAGACGGAAACTACGTTTCACGGCTGCGGATGATGTGGCCATTCTGAGGGAGGTTGCTGTCCATGAGCGACCGTTCAAGCCTCGGTTGAAGGCGTGGAGCAACCTAGACGGAAACTACGTTTCACGGCTGCGGATGATGTGGCCATCCTGAGGGAGGTTGCTGTCCATGAGTGACCGTTCAAGCATTGGTTGAAGGCGTGGAGCAACCTAGACGGAAACTACATTTCATGGCTGCGGATGATGTGGCCATCCTGAGGGAGGTTGCTGTCCATGAGTGACCGTTCAAGCATTGGTTGAAGGCGTGGAGCAACCTAGACGGAAACTACTGAAGTACGTTTCACGGCTGCGGATGATGTGGCCATCCTGAGGGAGGTTGCTGTCCATGAGCGACCGTTCAAGCATTGGTTGAAGGCGTGGAGCAACCTAGACGGAAACTACGTTTCACGGCTGCGGATGATGTGGCCATCCTGAGGGAGATTGCTGTCCATGAGTGACCGTTCAAGCCTCGGTTGAAGGCGAGGAGTAACCTAGACGGAAACTACGTTTCACGGCTGCGGATGATGTGGCCATCCTGAGGGAGGTTGCTGTTCATGAGTGACCGTTCAAGCATTGGTTGAAGGCGTGGAGCAACCTAGACGGAAACTACGTTTCATGGCTGCGGATGATGTGGCCATCCTGAGGGAGATTGCTGTCCATGAGTGACCGTTCAAGCATTGGTTGAAAGCGTGGAGCAACCTAGACGGAAACTACGTTTCACGGCTGCGGATGATGTGGCCATCCTGAGGGAGGTTGCTGTCCATGAGCGACCGTTCAAGTATTGGTTGAAGGCGTGGAGCAACCTAGACGGAAACTACGTTTCACGGCTGCGGATGATGTGGCCATCCTGAGGGAGATTGCTGTCCATGAGCGACCGTTCAAGCATTGGTTGAAGGCGTGGAGCAACCTAGACAGAAACTACATTTCTTGGCTGCGGATGATGTGGCCATCCTGAGGGAGGTTGCTGTCCACGAGTGACCGTTCAAGCATTGGTTGAAGGCGTGGAGCAACCTAGACGGAAACTACTGAAGTACGTTTCACGGCTGCGGATGATGTGGCCATCCTGAGGGAGGTTGCTGTCCATGAGCGACCGTTCAAGCATTGGTTGAAAGCGTGGAGCAACCTAGACGGAAACTACGTTTCACGGCTGCGGATGATGTGGCCATCCTGAGGGAGGTTGCTGTCCATGAGCGACCGTTCAAGTATTGGTTGAAGGCGTGGAGCAACCTAGACGGAAACTACGTTTCACGGCTGCGGATGATGTGGCCATCCTGAGGGAGATTGCTGTCCATGAGCGACCGTTCAAGCATTGGTTGAAGGCGTGGAGCAACCTAGACAGAAACTACATTTCTTGGCTGCGGATGATGTGGCCATCCTGAGGGAGGTTGCTGTCCACGAGTGACCGTTCAAGCATTGGTTGAAGGCGTGGAGCAACCTAGACGGAAACTACTGAAGTACGTTTCACGGCTGCGGATGATGTGGCCATCCTGAGGGAGGTTGCTGTCCATGAGCGACCGTTCAAGCATTGGTTGAAGGCGTGGAGCAACCTAGACGGAAACTACGTTTCACGGCTGCGGATGATGTGGCCATCCTGAGGGAGATTGCTGTCCATGAGTGACCATTCAAGCATCGGTTGAAGGCGAGGAGCAACCTAGACGGAAACTACGTTTCACGGCTGCGGATGATGTGGCCGTCCTGAGGGAGGTTGCTGTCCATAAGTGACCATTCAAGCATTAGTTGAAGGCGTGGAGCAACCTAGACGGAAACTACGTTTCATGGCTGCGGATGATGTGGCCATCCTGAGGGAGGTTGCTGTCCATGAGTGACCGTTCAAGCATTGGTTGAAGGCGTGGAGCAACCTAGACGGAAACTACGTTTCATGGATGCGGATCATGTGGGCATCCTGAGGGAGGTTGCTGTTCATGAGTGACCGTTCAAGCATTGGTTGAAGGCGTGGAGCAACCTAGACGAAAACTACGTTTCATGGCTGCGGATGATGTGGCCATCCTGAGGGAGATTGCTGTCCATGAGTGACCGTTCAAGCATTGGTTGAAGGCGTGGAGCAACCTAGATGGAAACTACGTTTCACGGCTGCGGATGATGTGGCCATCCTGAGGGAGGTTGCTGTCCATGAGCAACCGTTCAAGTATTGGTTGAAGGCGTGGAGCAACCTAGACGGAAACTACGTTTCACGGCTGCGGATGATGTGGCCATCCTGAGGGAGATTGCTGTCCATGAGTGACCGTTCAAGCATTGGTTGAAGGCGTGGAGCAAAAGAAACGGAAACTACGTTTCATGGCTGCGGATGATGTGGCCATCCTGAGGGAGGTTGCTGTCCATGAGTGACCGTTTAAGCATGGGTTGAAGGCGTGGCAGGCAGTGGCAAAGGGACTGACTGGGCGACTTGCAGGGATGAAGGTGAACACCGTGCAGAGTATCTTTCTTCAGTTAGACGTTCTTTTTTTTCGCTGCTTGCACAATTTTGCTCCTGGTTGCAACAACAAAAAATTGTATTCTGTCCACTGTTGTTTGTTCCTGCCATCCATGCACCGGTAGATCGGGTGTATGGCCGAGGACTAGGGCAAGAAGGAACATCTCCTGGAAAGCCTCCTTCAGTTGTTTAACGACGAGGTAAACGAAAAGGAGACATCGTCCCAACTCCGCAAGAGATCATCGGAGAAGGCAGAGGCTGACAGGAGAGTTTCGAAGTCTCAACATTGGCGTCCAACTCTGCCAAACCCATGACCCTTCGTCCCCGTCAATCAAGTTTCATCTTGCAGTTTGTCCCAGTTGTCCGCACCCGCCAGTTGTCTCTTGCCATCCTCGTCTCGTCCAAGTCATCCTCACCTCGTCTCATGTCATACAGGTCACCTGTTTTATTATTATTATCTCTTTCCTTTTCCTCTGTCCCCCTTCATCATTTTTTTCTTATTTCGTGTGTGCGTGCGTGTGCGTGTGTGTCCTTTCATGTTCTAGGCAGGCATCTGATCAGGGTGAACCATGGTCTGCCTTGCATTTTTGGTAAAAGTGCAACTCATAAATGTAGCTGTTTAATCGGCTGAGCCACGAAATATTCCTTCTACCGTAGTGTCTTGTATCAAAGCCTGTCTCATATAGAAGCCTGTTTTGAATAGAATCCTGATTTTCAAGATACACTGTCGGCACATAAGCCCGGTTTAGTACTGACATACATAGAAATACCTGTATTGTATAGAAGAAGTCATACTTATAAGCCGTGGCTTTTATACACGACTTAACGGTAATTACATTTTAAGATGAGTTTTTGTTCTGGACTTACTTCAGTAGAATGTATGGTGTGCACTACACTTTGGGGAGATCGTTGTGTTCTGTGTTTTGTCTTACTCAATCTTTATTTTGTCTAGCATTTTGTTTCTTCAGAATTCTCAAACTCCATTGCAGCGTATTCCTTGCACTTGAAAACACCGCCATTCCGGCAACAGGCTCTCAGCTGCACCAAATAAATAACTTTGCCAATATTTCGCCCATTGGGCATCATCAGGGCATTGAGGAAGGGGAGGCCAAATTACGAAATATAAAGACGAATAATGCAGGCAGATGAATGTTCTAGAACTAACACATCATGGTGACACAATTGGCAAGGCCAGCAAACTAAACAATCATCACTTGTAAGGTGACCTAAACAAAACGAAAGATGAGAAAACTCACACATACACACAGACACAATTTGGCAAGAAAACTAACACTAACACTAACACTAAAGTTCACAATCATCACCTGTAAGGTGACCTAAACAGAAGAAAGAAGACTAGTAAGACTATCACAGCACGTACAAGAACACTTTCAAGTGTGGGAATGCTAAAGGCGATCTATGTATATGACAGCGGTGTATGTGCAAAGTATGTGTATGTGCTGTGTCAGGTGGTAAAGTCCAGTGGTAGTTCGAGGAGATGGGTGTCGATTCCAGTGACGATCCGGTGACATCCAATCAGTCAATTAGGCGCCAGCCGTCATCGCAATTGACTGCTGGTTTGCGCTTCCTTATCTCGATAGCTTCAAGCAGTTTCCTTGATGGTAGCGAAGCCTCCCTGCCGAGAATCTTTGCCTGGTGGAAGGGCAGAAAGTTGGAAGACTTTAAAGATTCTCGATGCTGGGTACGATAGTGGAAGCCCCAGGGAGCCTTCGCCACCATCGCCCTTGCCTCTCGGTAGTGCTCAGCGAATCGGTCCCTCACCGGCCGCTCGGTCTCACCAACGTACAATTCCGCACACAACGTGCAAGACATACAATAGACAACACCTTTGACTAAACACTGACTATCCACCATACTCGCATCACATGCACGACACTCCATTGGTCGACCTCTCCCTCTCTTCACCTCCGATCGCTGCTTCTCACGGGGACACACACGTACAGCACTCGACGATCGGACCAACATATCCTTCAAAGAAGGACCAGACACAAAGACAACACGAACATGCGGACTGAACTTTCGAACACGTCGTGAGACACGAGCGGCAAGTGAGTCGTTGATGAAGGGCAGTTTGATGACTGACTTGAATTGGTTGTGTCTGCGCTTGCTGTCACGCTGCTGTTGTTGAGACGGGTGTGTATCTTGTCTCTTCCCCTTGGCTGCTCGTCGTGCTGCGTTTATCTCGGTGCGTGGATAGTCATTTCTCTCGAGCAACTCTTCAATTATGGACATGCTCCTGTCTTCCGCTTCCGGTGTTGACGAGTTACGGATAGCTCGAGAGAATTGGTTCGTTGCAACAGCTCTTTTACACGACCAGGGGAGACATGATTCATAAGACAGGTGGACACCACTGTGGGAAGGCTTAACATAGAGCTCCCACTCTATGCTGTTTCCACGCACAGACAGCGCTAGATCCAGGAAGTTCACTGACTGAGTTTCGTTGACCGAGTGTTCCATTGTGAATTTGATAGTAGTGTGCTGTCCATTGAAGTGATCTAGAAGTGCTGTTAAACCTTTCCAGCCATGTCTCCACAGTAGTATGCAGTCGTCGATATATCGCTTGTAGAGATCTGGCTTCACTGTAGCTGTCGAGAGGGCCTTCTGTTCAAGCGCATCCATGAAGAGGATGGCCAGCGGAGGTGCCAGATGGTTCCCCATCGCAATTCCACGCTTCTGACGGTACTGTTTACTATTGAACTCGAAGTAGTTGTTTGACAGAACATACTGCAACATCAGCTGTACATCCGCAACCGTCAATCCAAGCATGTCGGCATCATCTTTATGCTGCTCTAGCTTGGTAATAGCGGCCGAAATGCTCTCATCTATAGGAATGTTTAGCATTTTGTGTATAGCTTTTTTTTTGCCAGTCCTTATAACTGGCACTTTGGCGGTCAGAGTAGTGACAACATATTCTATTTTCATTTGACTCATTCCTTTATTTTTCCCCGAGGCCGCGGTTCCTTTTGTGAGTAGGGGAGGTATATTAGGTCCTTTTCTCCCCCACATTTCCCCGTACATCATTTTCCCAGCTGGCTTACACTCCGTGTATTCCCGTATGGCACCTTTTTTCCGCTGACCTGGGTAGCTGCTTGTGCGCCCATATTTGCCATAGCTGCCCAGGTCCTTTATCTAGCACTCTCTCTCTCTCTCTCTCTGTCTCTCTCTCTCTCTTGCCACCATCGTGTAGTCTTTAGTCTCTGTGCCTCCCCTCGTCGTTTCCCCTAATACCGTAAAGTCTTGTATAAAAGCCGCACTTGAATAGAAGCCGCCCTCGAATAGAAGCCGCAATTTTGGGCCCATCAAATCACACATAAGCCTGGTTTTAGTGTTGACATACATAGAAATACCTGTCTTGTATAGAAGCCTGTCTCATATAGAAGCCTGCAAAATTTCACCAAGAAAGTCATAGAAGCCGCGGCATTTATACAAGACTTTACGGTAAGGAGCTGCATCTGCGCCTTGATCCAAGAGGGTGGTAGCGTTCCTGCGGATGCGGAAAACTGGGCCTTTGGCCGAGTCTCACGCGAACCGTGAAATTTTTTATTTATTTTTTTTTTACGGTAAATGTCTTCCCTGCCCTATCTCATCAGTGGCTCGTTGTGAGTGTGGAGATAAGGGAGCTTCGAAGTCTCAACAGTGATCTTGTTCATGTTCATTTCATGAACTCGGTCTGTTGGTGTCTAGTTGGTTGGTGCACCACGTTCTAAAGGATAATGAACACTTCACTTACCGACACCTCGATGAACTTTCCATTGAAGTCATTCACAATAACAAGTGCCCGGTCGTCACTTTTGATGACTTCCGCACCTGACGTTCTGAAAACACAAGGCAGAATTGAGAAAACAAGCGAACATATCCATAAGAAAGCCTACGACGAAACAAGCAAAACGCACTCAGCAAGCTACAGCCCATGTGGTGAACTAGGTAACCTGCTGCACAGTACTGCTGGGTTTGTGAGTGTGTGGTAATCACGATATGGATACGCACAAGAAAATCACACCACATGCTGCACAGTGGCAGTGCACACACGAATGCACACACACACACGCACGCACACACGCACGCACACACACACACACACCCATGCACATGTACACACGCACGTACGCACACCCACTCTCTCTCTCACACACACACACACACACACACACACACACATACACACACATACACACACTCTCTCTCACTCACTCACTCACTCACTCACTCACGCACACACGCACACACACACACACACACAATTTCCAGGCATGTTACTTGCACAAACACAGGTGACTGCTGTATATGAAGAGAAAGAGAAACCAACTTCACAGTTGCACTGGGCAAACAACTTACTTCTCAATCTGGAAGATATCCTGCGAGCGTCCACTTCTCAAGCGCAGACCCCATGCTCCAGGGTTGGCCTTCAGCTGGAAGTATCCCTACAAACATGGAGCCAGACACAGATGAAAACAGCACCACATTGCAAAATCAGGAAACAAATCCGTGTTTACAGTTTACACATGGCTAGCAAGAGACTAGTACCCCAGGGACTGGCAATATTTGATCGAATGGCTTGGAATGGGTATGTGGGGAGGGCATACCCCCCCCCCCCCCCCAACACACACACATATAGTCCAAGAACCTACCATGTTTGCCATGACGATAGTATCCACGCGATCAGGTAGCGAGGGAGTTCCCAGGATGAACTGAAGACCGCGGGTTGGCGATCCAGTCTCAATGTCGGAACAGTGACCTGTTGAATAAAGTAAATACAACCGGATGTACGGTGGATTTCAGCACAATGTGTACCCCCCCCCCCCCCCCCCCAGGGCCATGAACATAAGTACTTTGTAGCTGAGGTACTGTGTTGTTGAGGTACTGTGTTGTTGAGGTCAAATGACTGCTATGGCATACAAGTAGTATAGAATACAAACTGTAGAGCCTTGAAAATGATACTTCCTACGTATACAAGAATGTCGTGACTTTTTTCAAAGGTGTTTTCTGCACTGTTTTGGAGCAAGCACCTGCTCAACTAACTCTGCCAAAGGCTGTCATCGACAACCCACATTCATGTCGAGGTAAGTTTGGTTAAAACCGAACAGATTCTCCACGGAAGCCATGTGCGAGAGGTCGTTGCCGACCGGAACTCCCGAGTCATTTGAAAAAAAAACACTAACACTTACTCGAAACTGACACAGTGACGAAGTGGAGCTCGCGGCTGGAACACAGAGTCACGCGGCAGTCGCAGCCCTGAAGCTGGCCAGGCTCGTGCGTCTACTTACGGTGAGCGGCCTGCAGCGTGAGAACATAAAGATGTTCCGCTCGCACGGCAAAATGAAATATTTCAGTCGTAGTGCAACCAGCACAGACTCTGGATCGGAATGTCGACGACCTGGCTTTCTTCGCCTCTCTCCAGTCAGACGTCTCCTTTGTCGCAAAGGGGAATCGCAGGGACCTCCTCGAAGCCATTGTAGAATGCTGGGAGGAGTATCCTGCCAAGAAAATGCGAAGCTTGTACGACTCGTTTCACGGCATAGTGGAGGTTGCGGGCTGCAACGACTGAATAGTCGACACCGATTCGTACGCAGCTCTAGAGATCAAGAGGACGTAGCCAGAGTGCTGCGTCGGATCATCACTGCAGCTGACAAGAAGCTGAACGAAATGCGAGCGGAAGCAGCGACTGATGGCGATGCGGAGTCAGCGTCGTCAGGTGACAATGACACGAGTGACGAAGACTCTGAATAAACTCAAATTCATTCGCCTGAGTTGCTTTTTTCTTTGTATATAGCTTGCAAACAGGTTAGACAATGCCACGAAGTTGTTGTATACGGAGGAAGTAGTCAATATCCTAAATTCATCAACTCGAGGGAAATATTAGGTTATATCAAGGATAGTTTACAGTTGACACTGCAGTTTCAACATACATCTACTCGCTAACTCTAACAAACACCTGATCGTACAACTCTAACAAACACCTGATCGAACATGCAAGGCAAAAGAAGGGAGAGCAAAGATCAATGAAGGACTGATTCAACTAACTAACCTTCCATAACGATAGCAATAAGCTGGAATGTACTGACGACAGCTTGCTCCACCTAAATCAACACATGTGAAGATGACATAAAGCATGAGGGAGAGGAGAGAGAGAGGGGGGGGGAGGTAGATAGACAAACATTTGCTACTGGAGATACAATCAACAGAGCAAAAGCGACGGAGTAGACATAATGCTCACATCTGCCAGACGGATGTTGTCCAAGTCGTAAGCGGAGCGCACCACCTCCACCATCCACGGCTGAGGCACGTCCATCTTCAGGGTCAGCAGAATGCTATCGGGCAAGTCGGAGAAAACAGCAGCTACTGATGTGCACGCCGACCCAGTCTTGGTGAACTCCATAGAAGGTTCCAGTACGTAGCGGTAAAAACTGGAGAGAAGCAATGACAGAGCAGGCATAATGATGTAGTGGGCCATGGGAAAGAAACACAGACACACATAC